GGAGATATTGTCATGGAGTTAGGCAAGGCGCAGGAAGTTGATGATGAAGAGGCGATCCTTCAGGCCTCTTAAGTGTTATCTTTTTGTTTCTCTGTCTGTTTTGATTTAATGTGGTGCTTCATTTAGCTGTTTTGTTTTTCTTTATGATTAGTATGATATGGAATTGCCAGGGCGCCGGAGGAAGGAGTTTTCACCGCGTCCTAAAAAATCTTATCCATACATACAAGCCCAAGCTGCTAGGGCTAGTAGAACCGAAAATCTCAGGCACGCAGGCCGACGCTATTTGCGCAAAGTTGGGGTATTCAGACTGGGTCAGAGTCGAAGCCGTGGGTTTCAGCGGAGGGATTTGGGTTTTATGGAATAAGCCGGTGGAGATTACAGTTGAGTACACTCACCCGCAATTCATTTTAATGCAGGTCCACGAGAACGGAGAAGACCCGTGGGGTCTTGCAGTGGTGTATGGAAGTCCAACTCACCATCTTAGAAAAAGACTATGGAACGAGCTCCGAGCACAGAAACGAGGCATTCTACGAGAGTGGGTAGCGGTGGGGGACTTCAATGTCGTCACTTCAAAGGAGGAAACTTCGAACTACACATCCCTGCCCACCCAACGGAACGAAGATTTCGTTAACTGGATACACAATGAAGGCTTGGTGGACTTGGGGTTTTCTGGGCCCGGCTCACCTGGATGAGATGCCTAGACGGGATAAATGCAAAAGGGGCGCGGTTGGATAGGGCCTTGTGTAGCGTGGAGTGGCGCCAACGGTTCAGCGAAGCCACGGTGCGCCACCTACCGAGAGTGGGCTCGGACCATGCACCGTTACTTCTCCAACCCTCCGCCGATGGCGGGGGCCAGGTAACCTTCTGGTTTAAATTCCAAGCTGCGTGGCTTACTAATGAAAGTTTTAGTGACGTGGTCAGGCAAGCTTGGAAGTCTGGCGATGGGCTTCAAGAAAACATCAAGAAAGTCCAGGATGACCTTACAGTGTGGAAGCGGGAGGTTTTTGGCAGCACTGAAGTGAAAAAGAAAATTCTCTTGGCACGCATTGGAGGGATTCAGAAACGGATGGCACAATCATTTCATCGAGGCCTTTGGAAACTGGAATTCAAGCTGCGAAAAGAACTAGAGGACGTGTTGTACCAGGAGGAATTAATGTGGTTCCAACGATCTAAAGAAGAGTGGATAGTGTCAGGGGACAGAAACACCAAGTATTACCACACGGCGACCATGGTGAAGAAATCGCGTAACAAAGTTTTGAGCCTGAAAGACGATTCTGGAGACTGGATTGAAGAGACTGAAATGCTGAAGCTACATGTTCAAGACTTTTATATGAGCCTGTTTAGGGCGGATGGATCCAGCACAGCCACGGCAGGACCTCGGGGCATGTTCCCAAGTATCAGTCAAATGGACTGGCGTATTTTTGACAGGGCCGTGACTTTGGACGAGGTCCGAAATGCTCTTTTCGATATGAGTCCCATGAAGGCGCCAGGCCCAGATGGTCTCCACGCGGCATTCTACCAACATGAGTGGGCTACTGTAGCAGAAAGTGTCTACAATCTGGTAAAAACGGCCTTTGAGACGGGTACTTTATCGGAAGGCATTAATGCCACCCTGCTGGTCCTAATCCCGAAGACCGCCGTGCCCGAGACTATCAAGCAGTTTAGGCCCATTAGCTTGTGCAACGTTCTGTATAATGTAGTGACTAAGACCATTACGAACAGGCTCAAGTTTATCCTCCCCAAACTCATTGGGCCTTTTCAGAGCTCCTTCATCCCAGGGAGGCAAATTTCAGACAACGTTATCGTTTACCAGGAAGTGATGCACTCAATGCGGACGAAGAGAGGGAAAAAAGGAATCATGGCCATTAAAATTGACCTGGAAAAGGCGTATGACCGCCTCTCTTGGAGTTTTATTAACGATACTCTTTTTGATGCAGGTTTCAATGAGGCGTGAGCGCGTATTATTATGGAATGTGTACGGACGACTGACATGCAAATTGTATGGAATGGAGCGCGTTTACCTCCATTCAAACCGGGGAGAGGCATTCGCCAGGGGGATGCTATGTCTCCCGCGCTTTTCGTGCTCTGTATGGAGAGGCTCAGCCAGGACATTGCCATAGAAGTAGCAAATGAGAATTGGAAGGGGATCAGGCTGTCTGCTACAGGGCCCACGCTTTCGCACCTATGCTTTGCGGATGATATGGTTCTCTTCTCTGAAGCTTCTTTGGACCAAGTGGCTGTTATGCAGCGGTGCCTGGAACATTTCTGCACAGCTTCGGGTCAACGGCTAAGCTTAGGAAAATCCCAAGTGTTTTTTTCTCGAAATACTAGTCCGGAGCTGGCAGAAGCTATTTCTAACGAGTTGGGCATACCCCGAAGTCCCGAACGAATAACCTAGGGAAGTACCTAGGCGTTCAGTCCTTGCATGGGAGGGTTACGCAGGCCACGTTTTCGGGGCTCATCGAGCGATTGCAATCGAGGCTAGATGGGTGGCGGGGAAAAACTCTAAACTTTGCGGGTAGGGTCACTCTTGCAAAGTCCGTGTTGTGCGTTATCCCTACCTATACCATGCAAACGATGCTAATCCCAAGAGGAATGTGCCAAAAGATAGAGGCTCTGACGCGGCGGTTCATCTGGGGAGGAGATAGTGATTCGCGGAAGCCTAGCTTGGTAAATTGGGACACGGTCTCAAGGGGGAAACAAGCAGGTGGCCTAGTCTTTAGGCGATGCCAAGGCATCAACACGGCTTTCATGGCAAAGTTGGGGTGGCGGATGAGGAAGGAACAAGACCATCTTTGGGTTCGGGTATTGCGTGGAAAGTACTCTACGGCACAGTCCAGCAGAGGATCTTCGAATGCTTGGTGTGGAATCCAAGGGGCGACAACCGTTCTGGAAAAAGGTTTAGTAAGGGTGGTAAGGAATGGTAGAAGTACGCAATTCTGGATGGACGCTTGGGTGCAAGGCCAGAGGCTATATGACCATATGCGGAGACCTGCGAGCCTCCCGGAACTATACGCTACCGTGGCTGACTACTGGGAGAGAGGGAAAGGATGGAAATGGGAGTTGATTACAGGCGTGTTAGACACCGAGTGGCTAGCGAAGATCCCTGCTATCATCCTGATCGACAATGATGCTATGGAAGACGATTGGGGCTGGGAGGGTGAGCCGAACGGGAAATTTTCCATAAGATCGGCGTACGACTCCATGCATACAGAAGACGAAGCTTACAAGGATGGGGATTGGGACATCATCTCGAAGCTTAGGCTGCCAAATAAGATTAGCCATTTTCTGTGGCTGGCTAAACACGGACGGTTAATGTCCAATTCGGAGCGTTTCAAACGTGGATTTACAACTGATAAAATGTGTTCTTTATGTGCAGGGAAACCGGAAACGCTGGAGCACATCTTTAGATGGTGCACGGAGGTCAAGGGATTTTGGGAATGGATCATGCCAAGGCAGGCTGTCGCGGAGCTGAGAGCAAAGACTTTGGGTGAATGGTTGGAAGCAAACTTGAGGGCCACCCACGGCTTACGCGAGGTGGAGGATTGGCCGGTGCTCTTTGGGGTAAGCCTTTGGTGGTGCTGGCGATGGAGGAACGATCGTGTCTTCAGTGACCGCAGCACGACAAATGACCAAAAAGTGGCTTGGGTGCTCGCCCAAAGGAATGAGATTACAATGGCGTTCCAGCGGAGATGGAGCCCGAAGAGTTCGCAGCGAAAGAACAATGAAGCCGTTATGCCTTGGACGAAACCGGAGGCTCGGTGGTTGAAGCTCAACATCGACGGCTGTTGCAAAGGGGCGGGAACAAGAGCGGGCTGTGGAGGCATCCTTCGCGACCACCTCGGGGATTGGGTGCGGGGCTTTACGTCGAACATCGGCTCTTGCTCTGTGGAACACGCAGAACGATGGGCCCTTTTGATGGGAATGCGGATGGCAGCAGGTTGGGGAGTCCGTAAGCTGGTCATCAAGAGCGACTCTTTGAGCACAGTCCAACATTTTACCGGACTTGACAAAGGGATTGCGAGCGGCTGCAATATTCTGAGTTTATGTGCAGAGGAACGCTAACATTTCCAAGCTTTGGTTGTTAAGCATGTGCCTCGTACCCAGAACCAAGCTGCCGACCGTTTAACCGCGACAGCTCTTTCGCACGACCTGGGGACAAGGGAGCTGTGGGATGCACCTCAGTGTCTAGAAGACGTGATCTGGGAGGACAAAGTCGGAGCTAGAACGGGTTGTATTGCCCAGTGCAGTTGAGCGCTCAGCAATCCTTGCTGCTAGCTTTTTTTCACGGGTTTACCACCCTCTTCTTGAAAAAAAAAAAAAAAAAAATTGCAAAACCATTTTCTATCTCCACCGCATATCAATTGGGGATTATTTTCTAATTTGTATTCTCTAAATCTGATTTTAAATTGTATAACTTTGAACCTTGAGGTACATAACTTTTCAGAGTAAGGTGCACAATTTTAGACTTTAGGGTGCATAAATTTGCATTTTGGATAGCATAACTTTGAACCGGTGCATAACATTTCACATTAAGGTGTATCACTTTAAACCTACAGATGTATGACTTTGAATCTTCAGGTGCATAACTTTGAACATTCAGTAAATAACTTCAAAACTTAAAGTGCATAACTTTGTATCACAAGGTGCATAAATTTGAACGTTCAGGTACATGTATAACTTTAAAACTTAAAATACATAACTTTGAACCTTTAAGTGCATAACTTTAAATTGTAGGTGTACAACTTTTAACTCTAAGGAAACTTTAAAACTTAGAACACACAACTTTAAAATTTGAGGTGCATAATTTTGAAATTAATATATATAACTTATTTTTCAGTAGCTATTTTTCTAATTTTCAAACACGCACTAAGTGATAATGATAATCCTATAAACCCGGGCCAATACCTTGACCATGACGTTCTCGGTTCTCCTGACTATTGCTCTCGTACGTGCAATGTTTTCTAATTTGGCGTCTGGTTTGTTCAACCAGGAAACTGATCAGCTTAAGTTACTTACTAGGACGGAAAACAATATTTAAGTTAGTTTATCACCTATGTTGTGATAGATAATAATAATGGCTCCCAAAACTATGTTTAGCTTCTTTCTTCTTTTCCTTGTTGTTGAGTTCCAGACGTCCTTTGGGCAAGATTCAGTGAACGGAGCATATTGGTCGGCAGATGGTGGAATCGCAGCCTCCGACATAGATTCCACTTTGTTCACTCACCTTTTCTGTGCATTTGCCAACGTTGATTCTCAATCCTATGCGGTCACCCTTCCCTCTGATTCCTTTTCGCAATTCACAGCCACAGTTCAGACCAAAAACCCGTCTGTCAAGACCTTGCTATCCATCGGCGGCGGAAATATCGCCGACCCCAACACTTTTCCGGCCATGGCGAGCCAACCCAGTTCCCGGAAATCGTTCATCGATTCCTCCATCGCGGTGGCGAGGTCTAACGGGTTTTCCGGGCTGGATTTGGACTGGGAGTACCCAAGAACGCCGGGTCAAATGGCGGATCTGGGCTCGCTCCTAGATGAATGGCGTGCGGCGGTGGACGCCGAGGCCGCCAGCTCCGGCAAGCCGTCGCTGCTCTTAACGGCGGCGTTTTACTACGCACCCACCATTGTTAACGCGTCGGACGACTCCATTGACTACCCGGTCGAAGCAATAGCGAGAAGCTTGGATTGGGTAAATGCCATGGCGTACGACTTCTACGACCCCAGCTGGTATAAACTGACGCAAGCACATTCTGCGCTCTACGATCCCTCCGGCGGCCCGTTCAGTGGGAGTCACGGGATACAGGCGTGGATAACGGCGGGGGTTCCGGCGGAGAAATTGGTCCTAGGCGTGCCGTTTTACGGGAAAGCGTGGCGGTTGGTTGACGCCGGTAATCCGGGGTTCTTGGTCCCGGCGGACGGGGCGGCAATCGGCGACGGCAACATAGCGTACAAGGATGTAAAGGAATTCATCGCACAAAACGGAGCGACGCAGGGGTACAATTCTACGATTGTGTCGAATTATTGCTATTCTGGGACAACGTGGATCGGGTACGATGATGTTCAATCTATTTCTGCCAAGGTTTTGTATGCTAAGGACAATAGGTTGCTTGGGTACTTTGCATGGCAAGTTTCGCAGGATCTCAATTGGGCACTTTCTCAACAAGGTATGCTTTTCTCTTGTTATAATACATATGTACAGTCATATATGTGTATTCATTCTTTTTTTTTTTTTCACCGTTGGGTCAACACAATCGGTCAAAAACAAAATAATGTAATTTTAATAATCAAATGATATACTTTTTATTTGTGGTTCACACAGCTGTGTGGATTAACAACTAATATTCTGATCTTACTAGCTTATTGGATTGAATGCTGCATGCATATACATATTGGTTATGATATTTAGTCATTTTTGTTGTTTGATGCAGCTAAAGAATCATGGGAAGCATGAAAAGCGTGGCCAAATTCGCAAAAGTCGCGTCTTATACTCTTATGATTATACAACAATAAATCCAAGTTCTTATATGCTTGTACGTTCAATAATTTAATACGGTTAATAATAAGAGACTATTATTACTATTACAATATCGAAGAATTAACTCCATTGTATATACATGTTTTGTAGATATGCATTCCTATCCCCTAGAAAAGGAGCACCAAGAATTTGACTATGCAATTTTATAGTTTTTATTTATAAGATTGGGATATGTTTTCAATATTGAAAGTTTATAATGTAGAAACTGATAACCTCGTAACTGAGCAGCTTAGGACAGATATCAAATTTTGGAGACCGATATGAAATAAAATTAATAAACAAGAGCACCCAATAAATTGATATCACAGTTGGAGAACTCCTCCTATTCTGCGGGGCCAAGTTCGAAAATTAATTTTTTACCAAAGAGTTGTAACATTTTTCATTAATGTCACTATTAAGTAATGCAAGTTAATAGGTTATTTATGGGCATTCTGTTGTGATTTGAAACAGATGTAACGATTTCTGTTACATAATCTATAATGATGGCACGAACATGTGCGTGGTGTCGCTCGTGTCTAGAGATGGGCAAACGCATGTCGCCGCACGTGTGACTATGTCAGGATTCCAACACTCCTTTGCGCACGAGAGCTCGTCCATGCAATCTCCTTCCAAGTTACTGTACTCCAGAATGCATTTAGTCTTCTCCAACAAGTACGTTAGATCAAACTTTGATTAGAAATGCTCCAAACTCCATGATTTCTCACTTATTGTGAGTAGATGTGTCTAGGAACAAAAATCATACAAATAAGTCTCATTTCACACAAGGTTTGGAGCAATTCACAAGCAAAATGGGTTAAACCAATGGGTGAAAATATTTACAATAATAAAGCATTTATCATTACTAATCATAAATATTTTAATACTTATAATTAAAAGGGAAAATGGTCAAATAGACCCTCAAACTATTGCTCAAAAGTCAATTAGGCCCTCCAAAATTTTTGAGAAGCAATTACACCCATGAGCAATGTATTTTGATGCAATGAAGCCCAAATCAGGTAAATGACCTGCTATCCCAGGTCATTGCAAATCCAGCGACATTCCGACATATTTTCAGGCAAAAAAGTGATCAGCGACCGGTTGCCGGTCACGGAGACCCCTCCCGGAGAAGGCAACCACAGTGGTGCTATGTCAATTTAACATATCGGGGGGGGGGGGGGGGGGGGGGGGGGGGGAATGTCACTTAAATAATTCAGGGGGAAAAAGTAGTGCTATAAGTATATAACACAGGGGGAAGAAATGTCATTTTCCCTATTAAAAAAAAAACACTGAAGATGAAGATAATGACAATGCTACCTGAAAGAGAATTAAAAAGACTTGGAGAAATTCAAACAAAATGTAGTATTTGTTTAGTCTATCATTTATTCATTTTTAGACTAAGTATTCAATCTAGCGTTTTTACAAAATTGAAAATATTTATTTTAGTGATAATTATAATCAATTTCTCATATATTATCTTGCATTCATATACTTTGAATTACCGATTTAAATAAACAAATTCAACATTCAATTACATATGCATGAACATCTCCTATATAATCTTGTATTGGTATACTTTGAAGTACTTATTTCTTATTTAAAAATAAACATTAGGCATTACCGTGAAAAACTAATATATATATATATATATATATATATATATATATATATATATATATATATATATATATATATATATATATTGAATCCGGTGCACACCCCCTAGTCGGCCGAGCCCGTGAGCACACTCCCTGATCGTTGATTTTAATTTTTTGACGATTCAGATTGATTACCACTTGGATCCCATGTTATACTGATTTTAGATGAAGCATGGGTCTTTTTGTCCTTAAGCACTATATTTATTACTTTCCATTTCATTTATTTCCATGTTTATAAAGATTTGGAGCGTTATTTCAGCTCTCCTTAATCAATATTTCTCTCTCTCTCTCTCTCTCTCTCTCTCTCTTAGTAATTTTCTTTGGAATTTTACGACGGTGTGTGCGTGGGTGTGGAATGGTGTGTGCGTTTTACTGTAACAGGGCTCGTACACCATGGCGTGCTGGTTTTTTTTTCATAAAATTATGCGTTTTGGTATGTGCGTTTCGTGATACAGACATGTACATTTTGGTTTGTGTTTTACTAGTTTTGGGCATGTGCGAAACGTAGATATAGTATTGGGCATGTTGTGTGTGTGTGTGTGTGTTTTTTTTTTTTTTTAAATTGTGGAGAATTTTACGATGGTGTGTGCGCGGGTGTGGAATGACGTGTGTGGTTTTCTATAACAAGAGGTGTACACCATGGCAAACTATAAAACACACACATCATTCCACACCCACGCACACACCGCCGTAAAATTTTCCATAATTTAAAATTTCAGATGTACAAAATATAATTAATTATTACAATTGATAGGTCCCTAATAATTTAAAATATCAATTCCATTCATAATCTCCCTAATATAATGCTTAAGATTCCAATTGAATTATATCCATAATTAAACATATATCTACAATTACTATTTAATCATTTTGATTTAAATATATCCTTAATTACTTTCACAATCTCTTATAATCTCAACCATTTATGGAAAATGAATCAATGGATATCATGAGATCTCATGATCTCATCTAGTATAAGGGTTGCACCAGATTCGAAGTGAATTATATCCATAATTAAACATATATCTACAATTACTATTTAATCATTTTGATTTAAATATATCCTTAATTACTTTCACAATCTCTTATAATCTCAACCATTTATGGAAAATGAATCAATGGATATCATGAGATCTCATGATCTCATCTAGTATAAGGGTTGCACCAGATTCGAAGCATATATATATATATATATATATATATATATATATATATATATATATATATATATATATATATATATATATATATATATATATATATATATATATATATATATATATATATATATATATATATATACATATATAAAGGATGTTACACCAATAGAGAATCATAGAAATATTAAGAGTTAATACCATCTAGCAGGGTCCTCTGAGTATAGTGATTTTGTCACGTTTAGTCTTAAATTTTTAAATTGATCACCTATGGTCCTTCGACTTTCAAATTGTTACCATCCGTGGTCCAAGTTAACCACTCATGGTCCTTCAACTATCAAATTTTAACCACCCATGGTCCTTCCAAGAGGACCACGACTGGTTAAATTTTGAAAGTTGAAGGACCATGTGTGGTTAACTTGGACCACATATGGTAACAATTTAAAAGTTGACGGACTACAAGTGGTTAATTTAAAATTTTAGGACTAAATGCGACAAAACCATTATACTCGGATGACTTCATATGACATTAACTCAAATATTAATTAGGATAATGAGAAAGGTATCCAATTACATGCATGGTAACTTAGAGTGTAAGTCTTGATGAAACTTCTTTACAAGTAATCTCTCCATAGAAATATTAATTAGGATAATGAGAAATATATCCAAGGGAAAATTGTAAAAACTGTCCCTATAAAATATGTCAATTATCAATGTCACTCTTGAATTATGACTGGTGTAAATGTTGCCCCTCAATTATCAAAACGGTGCATATATAGCCCCTCCCGTAACGGACATGTGGTTCTCCGTTAGTGTACGACACCGTTAAGTCGGAGTAAATATGTAATTTAGTTGTTTTTTCCCTCCCTTGATTCGAATTACCAGCGATGGACGGCGGTGGGGAACCACAGGTCCGTTACGGGAGGGGCTATATGTGCACCATTTTGATAATTGATAGGCAACATTTATACCACTCATAATTCAGGGGTGACATTGATAATTGGCATATTATAAAGGGGCATCTTTTTCAATTTTCCCTATATCCAATTACATACATGGTAACTTGGAGTGTAAATCTTGATGAAACTTCTTTACAATTAATCTCTGTATGGAAATATTAATTAGGATAATGAGAAAGATATCCAATTATATACATGGTAACTTGGCAATCGTTATACCGTGCACGAGGCGCACATAACACTGTGCACCCCGTGCCTCTCAAAACGACGTCGTTTTGTTAAGTTGTTAAAAAAAATCCTCTGTGTCGAATGCACATAAACTCATAACAGAATACACATAATCTAACATAATACATAATACACAAACTCATAACACAATACACATAACTTTTAACTGAATACACATAATGGGTTTGGTTAACATAATATACATAAACTCTTAACTGAATACAGATAAACTCATAACACAATACACATAAAATTTTAACTGAATACACATAATGAGGTTTGGTTTGTTCGGATGGACGGAGTGACATCAGCATGATGTCAGCATGAAACACACACGTTTTGTGCCTGGGCGCACATTGCTATGTGCGACGTGGTGCACGATATAAATTTCCGTAACTTGGAGTGTAAGTCTTGATGAAACTTCTTTACAATTAATCTCTGCATAGAACCCCACCCAAAAAAAATAATCTCTGCATAGAAATATTAATTAGGATAATGAGAAAGATATCCAATTACATATATGGTACATGGTAATTACTTGGAGTGTAAGTCTTGATGAAACTTATTTACAATTAAACTTAAGTTTACTCATCGTCTCCACCACTGTCATGGTCATTGCCATTGTCCTATCCAAATCATGACCCATCAGCACCTCAGAACAATTAAACACGACGGTGCTATCGAATTACAAAAGTATTCATCAATTGAAGAAAATGACATGAAATATTGAATAGAATTCCTTTCTATCATGTATAGTAGTTGATATAGACAACAAAGTCAAATAAAGCGGAGTAATTGACAAGAATGGAGAAAGAAAAAAAAAAAGGGAAAAAAGAGTTCTTTTCAAGAATGATCCCTTGAGTATTGTCATTTATTAATTTTTATCATTCAGTTTTTAATAAGACCATAAATAATCTATTGACTATTGATCTTTACCTTCGCCCTTGACTTCCAATTTAACCATAAATGGTCCCTTAACTATTGATTTTTTTTTTTTTTCAAATTTGATTCTCTAGTTAAATATCATTTTAATTAACATTAATTTTATGGGTAATAATGTAAAAATTTTAGT